CGCACAAAAACAAGAACTCTGTACAGGAGCTGCTCATTCCTGCCAAAGACAATCAGTGACTGGAGCAAGCTTACAAAAGCAACTATTGAGGCGACTATACTTGACATATTTGCGCTTATTGCCTCCTGTCTTCCAACCCCTAGTTTATAATAACCCTGCTGAGTAGCACTTGTCACAAGGGAGGTATCCCCTTCAAAACCAGGCACAGTAACATCCTGAACACCTCTGAAACATAGCAGCCAGAATGATCAATACATTGATCGTGGGCCCTCAAAATATAGAAGAAGAAGAAGTACAGCATTGTCACTCCATCATTAAATAATCTGTATTTTCTTTGCTATGGAACAAAACTGCAGTCACTCTAATTTAGTAAACAATGTGCCTACCAGGGTGGGTCGACCCTTTTCCTATGCCAGCGGATGTCTCTCTCTCTCTATGTTTATCTCTCTTATTTCTATTTATCTCTATCTATGTATCTATCTCTCTCTATCTATTTCTCTCACACTCTCTCTCTCCTTTTATATATATATATAAATATAAAGAGAAATATAAATAACATACAGTTTCGGCGCCCCACCAATGTTTACCGATCCTGTTATCTCTGTATGATGTCTCTGTATGATGTCTCTGTATGATATCTCTGTATGATATCTCTGTATGATGTCTCTGTATGATGACTCTGTATGATATCTCTGTATGATATCTCTGTATGATATCTCTGTATGATATCTCTATATGATATCTATGTATGATATCTCTGTATGATGTCTCTGTATGATATCTCTGTATGATATCTGTATGACATATCTCTATGATATTTCTGTATCATAACTGTGAATGAAATCTCCGTATGATATTTCTGCATTATAGCTTTGTTTGATATAACTTTATTAACGACACCCCGGCAGGCGTTGCAATGCCACTAAAAGAAACACAAATCTTTGTGTCTTAATTACGTTTTTGAAGAAAATGTTTAAATAGCAAATATTTTTAATTTTTTTCGTCTGTTGCGTACACAAATAATAATAACAGGTTTATTTTACTTTATTTCTAAATAGATTTCTTCATCATTTTTTAACTGGAACGGTATGGTATTCGCTCCCTTTTAAATCTTGGGGTAGGGACCGCGTCTATAAATATAAGGTATTCCAACCTCACCCCCCCCTCCTCCCCACCATTAGACGACAAAATCCTAAAAGTAAAGACGGGAAATAAACAACATAAAAATCATCTTTTTGTTAATTCCACAACAACTTACATAATTGTACATGATAATAAATAATTTGGGATGCTGATAAATAAAAAATTAGTAAAAATTAGGACTGATCATTATTTAATTTAACCAACACCGTCAATTCCTACATTAAGTTCTGTGTTGACGAAATTATTCCCAAAAAACAATCCGAGTATTCAACAACAACAAACCCTGGATGAGCAGAGAAACAAAGGAGGCCATCCACCACAAGAAGGAGGCCATCCACCACAAGAAGGAGGCCATCAACCACAAGAAGGAGGCCATCCACCACAAGAAGGAGGCCATCCACCACAAGAAGGAGGCCATCCACCACAAGAAGGAGGCCATCCACCACAAGAAGGAGGCCATCCACCACAAGAAGGAGGCCATCCACCACAAGAAGGAGGCCATCCACCACAAGAAGATCATGTTTAAGATTAACGATCAGGAATTCATTAAAGCTAAAAAAATATTTTAAAAAATTATATCAGGGTAAAAAATAATACAAGCAAAAAATCGAAAAATTATTCACTACTAACAATTCAAAGGCTGGTTGGGCAGGACTAAAGCAAATAACAGGATATACTCCTAAGCGAGAAGGCTTATGTTTTGAGGACGTAAGGAATTTTGTTAACGACTTAAATGACTTTTATTGTCGTTTTGACAGCCTGGACTTTGGAAGAGTGCACAATGAGATGATGAATTCATTTCAAGATGGCAGTAGTACACAGGATGGTACTATATTGGTTACCGAACAGAGAGTGATGTCATCATTTAAGTGGACGCAGCCAAAGCCTCGGGACCAGACAAATTGAGTTGTCGGCTCATTAAACTATGTTCAGAGCAGCTCTCCTACATTTTTTGTTACATATTTAATAAATCTTATGTAACTCACACAATACCAGTAATTTGGAAAACTTCAGAAATCATACCAATTCCAAAGAAAATTAAGGTAACTTTCAACAACGACTTACGACCTGTTGCACTTACCTCTATTGTCATGAAATGTTTTGAGAAAATAATTTTCTGAAACACATTTTGAATGAAGTACAGCAAAAGCTTGACCTTCACCAATTGGCTAAAAAACCTGCCAGAAGTACGGAGGACGCAATCTTACTATTGGAGAGACTTTACCATCACCTAGACAGTCCTAAAACATATGCCAGAGTGCTATTCTTAGACTTATCATGAGCATTTAACACCATCCAACCACACCTTATGATAAAGAAACTTTCCTCGCTAGGCTTCAATTTAAATATTTAGGCTTGGATTCTGAACTTTTTAACAAATCGACCACACTATGTCAAAGTAAATAACCAAGTATCTCTAACCAGAGAAATAAGCACTGGGGCACCACAAGACTGCGTTCTCTCTCCTGTACTGTATACAATATATACAAATGATATTCAAAGCTCAAGCAACACCATTCCAATCTTAAAATTTGCTGATGATACCACCATTGTTGGTTTAATATCTGAAGGAGAAGGCCTATACTGCAACTTAGTTATAAGCTTTATCAATTGGTGCCATGAAAATTTTCTCCCGTTGAATTTCTCAAAAACAAATGAAATGGTTGTTGATTTCAGGAGGGGGAAACACCAGATTACAGATCTCAACATAAAAAATTAAAATGTGGAGAAAGTGGAGGCATACAAGTACTTAGGTGTCACCATTAATAATAAGCTAACATGGTATGAGCACGGCCAAATGCTGTATAAGAAATTCACCCTAAAAAATCTGTACAATTCGGGCGTAAACAGACAAGTCGTTAACTTATTCTACATTGCAACAATTAGAAGCCTGCTTAATTTCAGTATGACCTGCTGGTGTGGGAATTCATCGTCTGATATTAAACACTACATAAACCGACTAATCAAGAAAGCTAGGAGCATAACACAAACTAAACATCCTTCACTTGAAGAACTATTTGAAGAAAGATGTTTTTGTAAAACTAAATACATTTTGGATGATACATCCCACCCTCTACCTCACAGATACTTAGGATCGGGCCGTTCGAGACGAATTCTTTCCATCAGGGCGAGGACTGACCGATATAAAAATTCTTTTGTTCCCCAATCTGTACGAATTTACCGGCATGCTTCCTCTGAGGTCACAAATCTGAATGAGAACTAATAAGTCCCTATTTTGCTAAGAGAACTCACTGAATGGCTGTTAAAAATAATTTATTATGAATGTCTTGTGTTCAAATTGTTTTATTTTTTAGCTGAAAATGTATGATGCAAACATTTCCATTTATTGAGTCATAAAAAGAGAACTTGATCCAACAAATACGCGAGGTCGATTGCAACGAAACAATTCATCATCAAAACGAAGTATGTAAAGTCAACACGTCGAACGAGAATGACTGAACTGATGAGAATTTAAAAATCTAGTCTCTTGATTGGATGCAATAATTCAAAACCAAATATTAATGATATTTTGAAAGCAAAACGTCAGTTTCACTAATCTCACTATTTTTTTCTGCTTAGTTTTTGTAAGATATGCACGCACAAGGCCTAATGTAACTCTCTTTTTGATAACATCGCCTACTTTGATAAATTATTTGGTAAATTTACATTTTGTTTGTATTTGTTATTTGTACATTGCACGCCAATCATCCACGACTAACATGGATAACTAAACTCAGCTTGCCAGGTTTGTACAGAACGATTCTACGGCCTGTGCCCGTCCTTCTGTCAGTTATCCGGCCCGCGGTGAAGAAAGTGAGGTGACCCCCATGATCTAGAGTGAAGCATAATATAGCTACGCTGTTAATGAGGAAATGTACGACAAATATTCATATTATTATATACCGGTAGATAGTTAATAGTACAAAAATCATGTATTCTTAACTAATAAATATATATATTATATATATATATATATATATATATATATATATATATACACACACACACACATATATATATATATATATATATATCTCTCTCTCTCTCTCTCTCTCTCTCTCTCTCTCTATATATATATATATATATATATATATATATATATATATATATATATATATACATATATATAAATATATATTTTATATATATATATATATATATATATATATATATACACACACACACACACATATATATATATATATATATATATCTCTCTCTCTCTCTCTCTCTCTCTCTCTCTCTCTATATATATATATATATATATATATATATATATATATATATATATATATACACACATACATATATACTTTCAATAAAAATATTACTAGGACCAATCTTGAATTTCGGAGCGGAGCCCTTACCCCCTGGTGGGTGCCTCCCCACCCCCACCTCCATTCCATGTAAGTGAATGTGACATATTCAGAGCTCATCACATTGCTCATTGCATGAATTCAAATTTCTGACCACAAGAAAATTACCCATGTAAGAATGTAACGCAACGTAAAAAACAATATCCACAATAAAAACTGAAGCATGATTTATTAGCATGACCACGCACTCAAGTTTGTTGACTTCATGTAACTACAGGATTTAAAAAAACAACAAGAAAACCAGTGATGTTGATCGTTTCAATATACGTGACTATATGTAAAAAAAAAAAGTAAACTTATATTAATTCTCAGCAAAGTTAAATACACCTAAATAGTATTATTCAGAGCGTGTCAGTGAGTTCCGAGACGAGAGTTTGTTATAATCTTTTACTTTTAACAACCAGACTAGCAATAGTTGTCTTTTAGACTTCACAACAGCAGCCCTTGTCTTTTAGACTTCACAATAGCAGCACTTGTCTTTTAGACTTCAGAATAGCAGTACATTATCATCGGCGTCACGAATGACCTGATGACCATTAACCAAAGCACGAAGTCATGTATGGCCGTTGCAGTAATCCTTCTCTCCATCATGGTTCTTGTCGGGTTTAGAGCGTAGCTGAGCTGATAGATGGCCTGTGGAACAACTAGGAGAAAGAAAACTATGGCAACGGCAAGGAGTCTGGACTTTTCACGGTGAAATTTTGACACTGTGATCCCAGCATCGTTCTGTAGGTACACGCTCTTGTTGGGTTGTACCACCGTGTAGGGTTGCTGTGTGACAGAGGGTTGCTGTGTGACAGAGGGTTGCTGTGTGACAGAAGGTTGCTGTGTGACAGAGGGTTGCTCTGCGACATGGGCTTGTGGGTTGTTCATCTGTTGAGGGTACTGCTGAAGTGGGTGCTGTCCGGGAAGAGGTTGCTGTGGATACTGGTTGCCTGGATGGTACCCATCTGTCGGGGGCGCTGTAAATCCATTACCAGATTGCAGCGGAGAATTCGAGTGACTCGTCGTTATCGTAACGATCGGTGCGGATGTAGCCGTTGTCTGTTGGTACTGAGCTGGAGGAAACGCACGACAACTGACCACAATACACATGGCCACAGCAGCACACGCGGGCAGAATAACAGAGATTACCACCGCGGCCTTTGCCTGACGTTTGGTCTGCACTGACAAACACGTTGTCATGTCAATGTTAGCCAGACAGAGCGGTAGGACGAAGATGAGACCCAGTAACCACGGGATGGCGCTGAGTACGATAGAGACAAAAATCTTGCCTGTTTTGTCGGCCGTCATGTCACGGATCTTGTTGCGACATAAAAGTTCGATGGCTAGAATGACGAGGCCCAGGCCGTAGACGAAATGAAGGAGAAATCTCATGTACGTGTCTGACGTCATCGCCAGACTACACGACTTCCAATTGTGCTGGTCATCTCCAAAAAAGGTCATGGTTAACACAATCAGCGGGAAAAGTGCGAGGAAAATATCTCCTATGGCTAGGGATAAAATGATCTGATTCTTTGGCCTCGCGTAGAAATCCAACTCCCGGGCATTTTTCCTAATGAGCAGGGCGTTGGAGAGTAAGATCAGAAGGATAAAAATTATGCACAGCGCTATGCTTGTCCAGCTGTAGACGTTCTCATCAAAGCCCTCGTTGTAAGATTCGCTATATCTATTTAATACGTTCGTCATGAAGTCCAAAGCTTGTTTGCGTTGCTCTTCCATAATCAGAGCAAATGTTACAAAGCCTTGTTAGAATTTTAACCTGCGATATTCGAAAAAATAAAAATTTTGAAATTTGAGTTATAATTGAGAAAAATACAAAACTTCAGAACCTTCGACTAGAGACAAAAACAGATTATTCTTTACATACCTTTATCAAAGTATATAAGAACATTGCAAAATTTTGACCGTTTACAATTTCCAATAAAATTACATTTCAGTTGAATCAAGTGCATCAATTACACTATGTCAAAAATATCAGAACTACACACAAACGAATTCCATAAATGTTTCTAGTGCAAATGTAAGACATTAAAGCTATAGATCTACTTTGGCAGATATTGACAAATAGATTTCACCTCGTGTACATTAGCATGATAGGTTTCGTGCTGTTCACATTGACATCAGAGACTTCGCCTCGTTCACGTAACGTCATAGATTTGATTTTGTACCGGTACGCATAAATATAATAGATTTCATCTTGTAGATATTAATGTCATAGGTTCATCTTGTAGATTTTAATGTCATAGGTTCATCTTGTAGATATTAAGGTCATATGGTTCATCTTGTACATATTAATGTCATTAGGATGAATCTTGCATAGAACGACAGTATTTACTTGAATGTCGTAATCGTGTACGATGTCACAGAACGGTTGTTACGGAGAAGGGCTCCGGTCCTGACTAATCATAAACTGTATTGACTTAGTAGTGGTCAGAACAGGACCGCTCGTCGCTGTCATTTAGATTGTGTGTGTCTAGGCGTTGGGACAGACAAAGCACAACGTAGACTTGAATGAATACAAACAACTGAAACTCCACATGGTCATAACACGACCTAGTATGTTCTTATGGCCAAGATACAAATCTGTTCTGTCGGTATCACTAATCGTCAGCTATCTATATGTATCTCTCTAGCTATGACTGTTTCTGAACTGTTCAACTGTTTCGCCTCACCTATTCCTATGTTCAACTAGTCAATGGTCGTCTACTGATCGCTTGCAACTATTCCTTCTCAACTGTCCTCTTTCAACTGTTCCCTCTTAACGCCTTTCTCTTAGGACTATTTTCCCCCCAAACCACGAAGAGTTCTGTCTTATATCCGTTTCTCTACCTCCATAGTCGGCCTGGGAATGCTATCTATTAAGACACTCTTGCCCCTTCATTTTCGGTCAGTGACGATTTCCTGTTGTTAACATTAAAATGACCATGCCAAGTCTGGAAGGCCCGAAACATTATATTATGGAAAGAAACCTTCCCCTCTACCTCAAGGATGTGAGAATCTATTAACCTTGACCTCTACCTCAAGGATGTGAGAATCTATTAACCTTAACCTCATCCTCATAACAACGCCTCCTCCAAAATCGCAGCAATTTTCCTCCGCCAAATAAGTTACTGAACAACAATAGCGCTCTGTTCCGTGCTCCCGCGACTGTCACTTGTGACATATGATGTACATAATAATGCCATACGTAAACGATGCATTATATTCATACACATCAGTGCCCTGAAGTTCAAAATGTCCAAAGAAGAGAATCTATTATTTTTAAAATTTACATGTAATTTTTATCATCTGCCCGTGTTCATATTATCCATAGTGAGAGGGTTTTAGTGATGGCGGATGCCCAATTTAAAAGAGGCCTTAATGCTTCGACTGGTTTTGTTGATTTTAGTTTAAAGGTCTGGTTACCAAAATCATGGCTTGGTTGCTCTTCCTAGCCATTCTCACTCCCAACGTTAGCCATAGGCCATCCACAATACTTTTCCATCTGTCCCTGTCCTGGGCTATCTTTACTAGTTCAGCCAAACTTTTCTTCATTCTCTTCACCTCTGTCTCTACTCCCCTTTTACGTGTGGCGTTTGGTCTTCCTCTTTTCCTGGTACATTGAGGATTCCAGTTTAGGGCCTGTCTTGTGATATTAGTTTTGGGTTTCCTTCATGTGTGCCCTACCCATCTCCATTTTCTCAGTTTTACCTCCGTTCCCACCAGAACATTCGATGCTCTCTCCTAAAGGACAGAGTTACAAATTGTGTCAAACCATCTGAATTTAAGAAGATTAAAATGTATATAATAAATAATCGCCATAAACTTGAATCAATTATTAGTCATGATACTTTGATGACAGGTAAAAATGAGGATATGTCTGTCACAGGTATGATGGTATTGTGAGGGTATTGTGAGCGTATTGTGAGGGTATGACCCGTACTTGTGGTCACGTACCAAGTGGTTTTGGTGTTGGTGTGATTACTATGGGGCCGCTCCTCAGCTCCTCTCTGTGGTGGTTCACTAGTCCAGGCGTTAAGAAGTACAACGAAAAAATCAAAGAACACTAATGAATGGCTAAGAAACTCCTCAGTACATTTATAAATAAGAGATGCATTCGTCACTATAATTTTATTGTAATGTCTCTTTCCTAACTGTTGACACTTCGCTGTCTATCCCTAATTCTATCCCTGACAGCAGCCAGTAACACTTCGTTTGTCACTTCAGAATGACCGTCCACGAATCTCTCACTCTCTCTTATGTCAATTAGGAACTTCCGTCGTCAATACCAACATTATCAGGCGAAGTCTGGAAGAAGCGAGACATAATATTTTTGCAAGAAACATCCCCCCCCCCCCCCCCCCCCCCCCCCCCCCCCCCGCCCCCTAATCTTAAAGATGCGAGAATCTCTTAAACTTACTCCATGCGCCTAATAATCGCTCCCCAAAATCACCACCATTTCCGTCCACCCCATAACTTATCTGAAGAACAATGGAGCTCTGTTGTTAACCCTCGCCCTAGTCATTAGTGACAATGACATGAGATAGATGTCCGTTTTTGAGACATAATTAAGCGGCAGTTATTGGGAAGGGGGAGGGGGTTAAGGGAAACAAGTGATAAAAATATTTATTAAATTTCGACTATAAAATGTATTATAAGACTTAATTATTTCGTCCAGAGATGAACAGTCAACGACGATACACTCGGTAAAGTTTAGGTCGAAATAAAATCAACTCCCTCACCACGATGCTCCCTTGTTATGAACAAAAGTTGTCTTTAATAACATCATAAACATATACTGTCTAAACTATCGCAGAGCTACTCACTACTAGCGAAACCAAGACAATTTCCTTTTTGAAAAAAGGTTCAGCTTTAAGGGTAACTCGTCCAACCGGGCTGCACATAGATACCAACATCAACGACTTCGTCCACTGATTCAAACATGGGGGTCACACAGTTGTAACTTGAACGAACGTTCAAGAAAGATTCTAACCAGCAAGACGCACCACGCGCACCAAATGCAACAAATGCGCACCAATATTACCTCCACGGAATCTTTAGGAAAACTATTGTATGGACAGAATAAAGAATATGACCACACCCTCCACTATAAAAGTATTCATGACATCAGTTGATGCAAACGCACTTTTTCCGATTTTAAAATATCCTGTATCTTTTTACTAAGCATATTAATTTGCCCAAAGACTAAAACTTTACACTGAACAAATGCTAGTTGACCACCAACGTGGATTCCGAGGAAAAAAAACAGATCAGCCACTGATAAGATTTTCACCATCAGATGCCTATTTGAATATGCTACGAATACAATAACCCAGTACATCAGATCTATGTGGACTATAAAATGGCCTCTGACAGCATCAACAGAAAATATCTATATGAGACATTGAACATTTTTTAATCTTTTATTTTATTTTATTGGGGGGGGGGGGGTTTTTTCTTTAAAAAAAAAGGTAAAAACTAAAAAAATTAATTTCGAGGGAAGCAATTATTTTTTATTTTTTTTTTTATTATTTGGCTGAAATTAAAGTTTCGGAAATTTTTTTTTTTTTAATATGAGACATTGAACATTTTTTAATCTTTTATTTTATTTTATTGGGGGGGGGGGTGTTGTTCATTAAAAAAATAGGTAAATACTAACAAAATTGACTTCGAGGGAAGCAATTATATTTTATTTTTATTCTCAGTATATGGCTGAAATTAAAGTTTGCGAAATTTTTTTTTTTTTATTATCATGTCATGAAATATATAATAATAATTAATTTTAAAAAAACAACAAAAAACAACGAATATAACATTTATGGAATCCTTAGTCTTAAAAATGTTTGAAAACTTCTTTAATTGGGAATCTTAACCCTTTAAATTTATAATTAAAACTGAAAATATGTGACTTCAATTATGCCTAACCGATGGTCACAACGCTGTTTCACTTTGAGCCGGTCTACATGATTAAAAGCTAGCCGGCTCTATTTCGATCCTTACATCTGAGGATACAACGTTAATAAATGAACTCTTAATGGAACACTTAGGTCAGCACCTGCCGTGCAAATGTCTTTCTGTCTGTCTATCAGTCGGTCTGTCTATCTTTCTAAGAAAACTTAACGTATCTCTTTATAAAAATTAAGTTTTCACTTGAGTAAAATGATTGGGTTTGATATTCAAGGGTATAATTGTATAAATGTACGTATGTTTTGTTAACGTCATTGATTTTCTTCATTGGTCAACATAATTTGTAAAATAAGAAAATAGCATCAATTTTTAAACACTGTAATATCAATGGACTTCAAAATGTAAACACCCTACTGCCACCGCCGATATATATATGTACCTAAGAAGGTTAATTATTTATGAAATTCATTCGGAGGCGTATCTTGTGCTGCCTTGGGCAAAATGAAAGTATTGAATTACTTCCCCCCCCCCTCAAGTTTAAAATTGTTAAAAAATTAAATCATTCATGGGATCTTAACACCCTTATTTACGCAAAAACATTTTTTTTTTGTGCATTTCATACGCTTTGTTCTTATTTGGATGAGTGATAAGCGCATTAGTGAATGCTATTTGGATATGTAATATGGCTGTAATATTTGCATCAAACGGCATTTTCTTATTAAAAGTATATTTAAATGTTAAGTTTTTACTACTTTTTAAACTTCATAAAAGTATCTTTTTGGAATGAATAATATGCAAAAACTTATTACACGTTAAAAATGAAAAGCTAAATTTGTGTTTAATTTGAGCAATTTAAAAAGCCATCAATCATATTTATTAATTTTACATTTAAGAAGGGGAAAATACGTTATCACTTTGTCACGCGCGGTTATTAAATCATAGAACTTTTATCTTTGGATAAATAGTCATTTCGCGTGCTTATGAAGAACAAAATAATTATAATTTTATTTCCCAATATTAAGAACGCATTAACAAACACACTAAAAACAACTGATCTTTGGGTTTTCCCGATTGATGTGATTACGGTGTACTTCTTTGATCATATTTTTATTAACAACATTTTTTCATTCATTTTTAAAACACATCTAAGATGCTAAAAATTGTTCCTGAGTTGATGCTTTAAATTTATATTTAATTGATAATAATAATACTTAAAGTGTTACTAAAATAAAAGCGGATATATTAATATTTTTTGCGCATTTACATTTATTTAATTTTTGTAAAATAAGAGAAAATAACTATGATTATTTTAAAGAATCGGAACGTATTTAAATCTTTTCCCTTCTTTGGCGTTACGGTCAGCATATCCCATATATATAAGAATGAGCTAGAGAGACATAACGCCAAATGGATGATTTGATTTAAGTAAGTTCCGATTCTTAAAAACAATCATAGTTATTTTCTATTTTTTACTGAAGTCGAATAAATTTAAATGCGCAAAAATTTTTTAAAATACACTTTCATTTTAGTATTAAAAATTACAAATACATTTAACGTATCAGCTAAGGAACTATTTTAAGCCTTTTATATGTGTTTGAAAGTTATGAAAATATAAAAATAATAAAACAATCATGATCAAAGAATTACACCGTAATCACATTTATCGGGAAAACCCAAGCATCAGTCGTTTTTAGTGCGTCTTTTAGTGCGTTAATAATATTGTGAAATAAACTAAATTAATTTGTTATAATTAATAACTCAAATGACGTCATAGCGCGAATAGCCTATTTCGCCAAAACTCTTAGGATTCTTTAAGTTTTTAATAACCGCGCGTGACAAAACTGATAATGTGTTTTCTATTCTTATAAGTAAGAGTAGTAATAAATACAATTGATTGCTTTTTTTTTAAATTGTTAAAAAAACACACACACACGTTTGCTTTGTATATTTTTACATTTACTAATTTTTGCCTTTTTGATTCCAAAAATATACTTTTATTAAATTTTTAACTTGAGGAAAACTTACCTTTGAATATAATTCTAATAAGAAAATGAGGTTTAAGTCAATCAGTGCAGTGCAACTCCATAGCCAAATAGCATTCACTAATCCAGTTATACCTCATACAAATAAAAACGAAGCATTTGAAATGCAAAAGATGTTACTTTGGGTGTGGAAGGGACTAAAATCCGGTGAAAGATTTTCTAAATTTATTTAAATCTGGGTGGGGAGGGGTTGGTCACTTTGCCCCAGACATCACAAGGTACGTCTCAAAATAAAGAAATGAATTTGAAAAATTATCAAACTTCTTGGGTACATTCATATCGAAGGTAGGAAATAGGATGTATACATTTTTACGTGGATGACAATGTATTTCAATCCTATGTTATTACATTTGTGACAAAAAGAGACGCTACATTCTCTTTGTACAAATATGTGTATGTTCATTTTTCTTGAAGGCAGCACAAGATACGTCTCAAAATAAAGGAATTGATTTGAGAAATAATTAATATTCTTCGGTGGATGACAATATATTTAAATCCCATGACATTACATTTGTGAAAAAGGAGATGTTGAATTCATATTTTAACAAATAAACATATGTTTACCAAGTAAGAAAATCAATGGCGTTAACAAATCTTGGGTACATTTATATAAGTATATCCATGAATATCAAAACCCAATCATTTTACACACTTGAAAATTAAATTATGACAAATGAAGCTGGGTGAATATTTTCTTTTTTTTAAAAAAATGAAAATATATTTTTGTTGTTACTTAACAAAAAGTAAAGAGGTGTGTATTTGTGTATTTTTATGAAATTAACAATTTAATTTTTTTAAGACTGTCAAATCTGATATAGGCCTGAAAAAAAACAGTTGCGAGATTCTTCTTAGATAAAAGAATTATTTATTTTGCGATTTTGTGATAATGTATAATTTTAAATTTAATGTTTAAATTTTTTATGAAGATATCAATATATATCGAATTCCTTATTATATTTAGAGAGTTTTTTTTGGGTAAATTTAAGATTAGTTTTTTTTTTTTTAAATTTTGAGACAAAAAGTTGTTATTCAAGGGCACGAAAAGTATTTGTCTGGCGTAGTAATTGTCCCTCAATTAACTTCTTTAGTGTCCAAATTGATATAATTAGTGGTCATTTAGACTGGGTAATTTAAGGTCATGTTTAGCGTAAGAAAAGTACTTTAGGAGCGTGAAAGGGTGTAGGGTACGCACATGATGTTAGAAACGTAAATATCATTACATTTTAAAAGTTATGAATTGTGATGAGTTTTTGCAATAGGGGTTGGAAATTATCGCAAAGGACCTACCATTATTATCCCGATAACATCGGGTCATTTATTCTAGCTCTTACATAATATTATATCCCAGTGTGATTTAGCTGTATGATATATAATAATATGTATTATATCCCTGTATCATATATCTGTATGCTATCTTTGTATGGTATCTATGTATTATATCTTTGTATAATATATATGTATTATATCTCTGTAGGATATATCTATATGATATAGCTGTATATATCCCTGTATCATATATCTGTATGATATCTTTGTATGGTATCTATGTATTATATCTCTGTATAATATATCTGTATTATATCTCTGTAGGATATATCTATATGATATAGCTGTATTATATCCCTGTATCATATATCTGTATGATATCTTTGTATGGTATCTGTGTATTATATCTCTGTACAATATATCTGTATTATATATCTGTAGGATAAATCTATATGATATAGCTGTATTATATCGCTGTATGATACCACCCGTTAGTGTCGGTGTCAATTTTTTTCTTTCTCTTATTTCATGACACCAAAGAACCGATAGGATATACAAATTAGGAAGTTTTAGTGATTTGAAAATGTCTTTGGCTTTAGAAACTGCACATTAAGGCAACTCGAGAGACTTTTTCGTGACACCGGCTACGATAGTGAAAAAACGGGACAAAAGAGAAAGAGAGAGAGAGAAAGAGAGAGAGAGAGAGAGAGAGAGAGAGAGATAGATAGAGAGAGAGAGAGAGAGAGAGAGAGAGAGAGAGAGAGAGAGAGAGAGAGAGAGAGAGTGTAGCAAGCAAGACGCACCACGCACAACACACTGAAAAAAAAGACACACAAAAAAAAGAGAGAAAAGAAGAAAAGAGAGAGAGAGAGAGAGAGAGAGAGAGAGAGAGAGAGAGAGAGAGAGAGAGAGAGAGAGAGAGAGAGAGAGAGAGAGAGAGAGAGAGAGAGAGAGAGAGATTGAGATTGTAGCAAGCAAGACGCACCATGCACATCACACTGAAACAAAAGACACGCAACAATGCAACTCCACGGAAATGTAAGAAACACCAAAATGTGAACAGAATAACGAATAGGAACACACTCGCAACCACAAAAGTATTCACAACATCATTTAATAGGAAAGCACTTAACGGATTTTTAAATACTACCAGATATCTGTTTAATAAACACGTTAATTTAGAAAAGACAACACGTACGCTAAACAAAGAGTAGATTGGCTACCAATGTGGATTCAGAAAAAAACAGATCCATAATCGACTGATCCGAATTTCCCCCCTTTTAGAGAAAGTTTACGTATATAATATCTGAGTATACATCAGCTTACTTTATGTTGACTATAAAATGCATATGAAAGCACCAAAAAAAAAGATTTATATGAGTTTAGTATACCCAACAAACTGATAAGACGGATAAATGTAACAAGATAAACTCAAAAAGGAAAATCAAGCTTCGAAGTGAATATTCAGAAGGAATTTCAGATTAAACGAGGCCTAAGACAAGGAGACTCATTGTCTTGTATGCTATTTAACCTAACATTGGATAGAGTTATTAGAAATATACATATTGACAGCCGAGGAAGAAAATTTAGAAGACGCGTCACTACAAACAGCGCTGAAATCAAGTCGTGTACCGGCACTTAGGATCTGTATGGAATGAGAGAAATGAATTAATGACCAAAACAAAAGACAGACTATCAGCCGGAAAAAAGGACATACTTCAGTAGTCATAAAATGCTGAAAAAGTAAAAACATTAAAACAAAGAAACAAAAGAAAGCCCTTAATATAACTGTAATCAGAACAATTGTAAAATACGCAAGTGAAACTTGAACCCTGTCTAAAACGTCAGAAAACCTATTAAGCACATCGGAGAGAAAAGTTCTCAGGAAAATATACGGACCAACAAAGGATGACTATGGATGGAGAATACGAACCAACCAGGAATTGTATAGTCTATATCGGGGTCTCACGATATCAGACATAAAAAAGTAGGCTACAATGGGCACGACACTTAAAGAGAATGCCGAATGATGAGGAGTGAAGAGGGTGCACCAGCAAAACCCCAGAGGAAAAAGGGCTCCAAGGCAGACCTGGGCTTAAATGGATGGATGATGCGGAAAAAGATCTACAACAACTGGGAATCCAAGCATGACATTTTCCAAAATGATGTATGTTGAGTCAACACATGGAACGAGAGGGAGTGATGAGCATTTGAAAGCAATTCTCTTGATCGGATGGAGCAATTCCAAAAAAAAAAATAAAAAAAAAAAAATGATATCTTTAAAGCTAAACGTCAGTTTCACAAATTTCACTATTCTTTGCTGCTAGGTTTGTGAGATATGCGCGCACTAGGTCTTATGTAACTCTCGTTTTGCAAACATCGCCTTATTTGATAACTTTTTTTTTGGTAACGTAACATGTAGTTTGTCTTTGTTATGTGTACATTGCACGCCACTCACCCATGATTAACATGGAATACCAAACTTTGTTTTTCTTCTTTTTTCTTAGAGCTTTCGTTGTGGCTTGCAAGTGTTGTACAGAATGATTCTACGGCCCGCGCTCGGCCTTTGGTCAGTTATCCGGCCTGCGGTGACAAAAGTGAGGTGACCCCCTGATCTAGAGTGAAGCATTATCTAGCTAAGCTGTTAATAAAGACACATACGCCACATATTCATATCATTATTTACCGGTAGATAGTTAATAGTACATATATATTTATACTTTCAATACAAAATATTACTAGGATCAATTGTTAATTTCGGCGCCCTTTCCCCCTGGTGGGTGCCTCCCCACCCCCACCTCCATTCCATGTAAGTGAATGTGACATATTCAGTACTCATCGCATTGCATGAATTCAAATTGCAGACCACAAGAAAATTACCCATGTAACAATGTAACACAATGCAACAATATCCACAATAAAAACTGAAGCATGAATTCTTAACATGACCACGCATTCAAGTGTGTTGACTTCCTGTAACTACAGGATTTCAAAAAGAACAAACCAATTATGTTGATCGTTTCAATGTACTTGAATATGTGTAAAAAAATAATTAAACTGATATTAATTCTCAACAAAGTTAAAGGCACCTAAATAGTACAATCAAGACAGTTTCAGTTTCAGTGATTTCTGAGACGAGAGTTTGTTTTATTCCTTTAACAACCAGACTAGCAATATTTGTCTTTTAGACATCAGAAAAGCAGTACTTTTCTTTTAACACTCAGAATAGCTGTAATAGTCAGAACAGCAGAAATTGCCTATTACTTTCAGCAATCAGAATAGCAGTGCTTGTGTTGTAGCAATCAGAATTGCAGTGCTTTTGTTGTAGCAATCAGAATAGCAGTACTTTTCTTTTAGCACTCAGAATAGCGGAAATTGTCTTTTAGCAATCAGAATAGCAGTACTTGTCTTTTAGCAATCAGAATAGCAGTACTTGTTTTGTAGCAATCAGAATAGCAGTACTTTTGTTGTAGCAATCACAATAGCAGTACATGTTTTTAGCAACAACAAAAGCAGTACCTGTCTTGTAGAACTCGGAATAGCAGTATTTATTTTTTAGCAATCAGAATTGCAGTACTTGTCTTTCACTTTTAGTAGCCAGAATAGCAGTACTTGTGTTGTGAAATCAGAATAGCAGTACTATTTTTTTAGACATCAGAATAGCAGTACATTATGAGTGGCGTGACGAATGACCTGATGACCATTAACCAAAGCACGAAGTCATGTATGGCCGTTGCAGTAATCCTTCTCTCCATCTTGGTTCTTGTCGGGTTTAGAGCATAGCTGAGCTGATAGATGGCCTGTGGAACAACAAGGAGAAAGAAAACTATGGCAACGGCAAGGAGTCTGGACTTTTCACGGCGATATTTTGACAAAGTGATCCCAGCATCGTTCTGTACGTACAGTCCCTGTTTGGGTCGTTTTACGGTGTAGGGTTGCTGTGCAATAAAGGGTTGCCGTGAGACATACGGCTGCAGTGAGACATAGGGTTGCTGTGCGACATAGGGTTGCTGTGTGACATAGGGCTGCAGTGAGACATAGGGTTGCTGTGCGACATAGGGTTGCTGTGCGACATAGGGCTGCTGTGTGACATGGGGTTGCAGTGTGACATGGGGTTCCTGTGTGACATAGGGTTCCTGTGCGACATAGGGTTGCTGTGTGACATAGGGTTGCTGTGAGACATAGGGTTGCTGTGTGACATGGGGTTGCTGTGTGACATCGGGTTGCTGTGTGACATGGGGTTGCTGTGAGACATAGGGTTGCTGTGTGACATGGGGTTGCTGTGTGACATGGGGTTGCTGTGTGACATGGAGTTGCTGTGTGACATGGGGTTGATGTGTGACATGGGGTTGCTGTGTGACATGGGGTTGCTGTGTGATATGGGGTTGCTGTGCGACATAGGGTTGCTGTGTGACATGGGGTTGCTGTGCGACATATGGTTGCTGCGTGGCATAGTATTGCTGTGCAACAAGGGGTTGTTGAGCGACGTTAGGCTGCTCTGCGACACATGGCTGATTTGCTTGAAAGTTTTTCATCTGCTGTGGGTACTGCTGAAGTGGATGCTGTCCAGGAATGGGTTGTTGGGGATACTGGTAGCCTGGATGGTACCCAAAAGTCGGGGCTGCTGTAAATCCGCGACCAGATTGTAGCGGAGAATTCGAGTGACTCGTCATGATTGTAACCATCGGTGTGGATGTAGCCGTTGTCTGTTGGTACTGAGCTGGAGGTAACTCATGACAGTATACAACAATACACATGACCACAGCAGCACACGCGGGCAGAATAACAGAGATGACCACCGCCGCCTCGGCCTGATCTAAGGTCTGCACTGACGAACACGTTGTCATGTCAATGTTAGCCAGACAGAGCGGTAGGACGAAGATGAGACCCAGTAACCACGGGATGGCGCTGAGTACGATTGAAACAAAAATCTTGCCTGTTTTGTCGGCCGTCATGTCATGGATTTTGTTGCGACATAAAAGTTCGATCGCTAGAATGACGAGGCCCAGGCCGTAGACGAAATGAAGGAGAAATCTCATGTACGTTTCCGAGGTCTTGGCCAGACTACACGACATCAAATTGGGCTGGTAATCTTCTGGTAAAAAGTTCCTAACCAACACGCTCAGGGGAAAGAGAACGACGATAATATCTCCTATGGCTAGAGATAAAATGATCTGGTTCTTTGGCCTCGAATAGAAATCCAATTCCCGGGCATTTTTCCATATGAGCAGGGCGTTGGAGAGTAAGATCAGAAGGATAAAAATTATGCACAGCGCTATAGTTGTCCAGATGTAGACGTGCTCATTAAAGCCCTCGTTATAAGTTTCGCCATATTTATGTAATATGTTCCTCATGTAGTCATATGCTTGATCGTTTTCCCCTTCCATGATCAGGTCAAAGGTTAGAATTTTAACCTGCACATTTCGAAAAAAAAAATATTTTGAGAGTTGAATTATAATTTAGAAAAATACAAACCTTTGACTAAAGACAAAAACAAAATTATTTGTTACATCCCTTTGTCAAATTATATAAGAACATTGCTTATCTTTGCCCGTTTACATTTTTCAATAAAATTAACGTTTTAGTTGAGTCACGTGCATCATTCACATTACATCAAAAACATCAGAACTTCACCCCTACTATTGCCATAGATCTTTCTAGTGCAAATTTACTACATTCAAACTATAGATTTCCTTTGGCAGATTTTGATAGCATAGATTTCGCTTCGTATACATGAGCATCATAGATTTCGCCTCGTATACATGAGCATCATAGATTTCGCCTCCGTATACATGAGCATCATAGATTTCGCCTCGTATACATGAGCATCAAAGATTTCGCCTCGTATACATGAGCATCATAGATTTCGCCTCGTATACATGAGCATCATAGATTTCGCATCGTATACATGAGCATCAAAGATTTCGCCTCGTATACATGAGCATCATAGATTTCGCCTCGTATACATGAGCATCATAGATTTCGCCTCGTATACATGAGCATCATAGATTTCGCCTCGTATACATGAGCATCAAAGATTTCGCCTCGTATACATGAGCATCATAGATTTCGCATCGTATACATGAGCATCATAGATTTCGCCTCGTATACATGAGCATCAAAGATTTCGCCTCGTATACATGAGCATCAAAGATTTCGCCTCGTATACATGAGCATCATAGATTTCGCATCGTATACATGAGCATCATAGATTTTGCCTCGTATACATGAGCATCATAGATTTCGCCTCGTATACATGAACATCATAGATTTCGCCTCGTATACATGAGCATCATAGATTTTGCGCTGTTTACATTGACATTAATGACTTCGCCTTGTTCAAATTAACGTCAAAGGTTTGCTTTTGTACCGGTAAGCATAAATAGAATACATTTCATCTTGCAGATATTAATGTCATAGGTTCATCTTGCAGATATTAATGTCATAGGTTCATCTTGTACGCGTGAACTTCAGTAATCTTGCATAGAGCTGTTGTCACGGAGGAGGGCTACGGTCCTGACTTAGCTCACACTGTACTGATTTAGTAGTGGTCAGTACAGGACCGCTCCTCTCTGTCAGTTATATTTTGAGTATCTAGCTAGTCGTTGGGATAGACAAAGCACACCGTTTGACTATGACTTGAATGAACACTGAACAACTCAAACTCCAGATGCTCATAACACGACATAGTATGGGCTTATTGCCTACATACACATCTGTTCTGTCGGTATCACTTATCGTCAGCTATCAATATGTATCTCTCTAGCTACGACTGTTTCTGAGCGGTTCAACTGTTTCGCCTCACATATTCCTATGTTCAACTAGTGAATGGTCGTCTACTGATCTCTTGCAACTATTCCTTCTCAACTGTCCTCTTTCAACTGTTCCCTTCTAACTCCTTTCTCTCTCGTCTATTTTCTCCCCCAAACGACGAAGAGTTCAATCTTATATCCGTTTCTGTACCCCCGTAGTCGGCCCAGGAATGATATCTATTAAGACACTCTTGCCCCTTTCATTTGCGGTCAATTATGATTTCCTGCCGTTTACATCATTTGAAGTCTGGAAGGCCCGAAACATAATATTATGGAAAGAACCCATCCCATCTACCTCTCTAAATTCACAACAATTTTCGTCCGGCTAATAAGTTATCTGAACAACAATAGCACTCTGTTCCGTAACCCCCCCCCCCCGGGTCATTTGTGACATATGGTAGACAATGATGGGCCACACTTAAGCGATACAGTATATTCATACACATATGTGCTAGAGGCCCTGAAGTTCCAAACGTCAAAAGAAAAGAAACTCTTGTTTTTAAATGTAACCTGTAATTTAAATCATCAGCCCGTGTTCGTATTATCCATAGTGAGAGGGTTTCAGTGATGGCGGATGCCCAATTGAAAAGAGGCCCTAATGCTTCGACTGGTTTTGTTGATTTATAGTTTGAAGGTCTGGTTAGCTCTTAGCCATTCCCACTCCCAACGGAGCATAGGCCATCCACAATACTTTTCCATCTGTCCTGGGCCATATTTGCTAGTTCCGCCTAACTTTTCTTCATTCTCTTCACCTCAGTCTCTACTCCCTTCTTCCATGTGGCTCGTGGTCTTCTTCTTTTCCTGGTACATTGAGGATTCCAGCCCAGGGCCTGTCTTGTGATGTTAGTTTTGGGTTTCCTTAATGTGTGCCCTACCCATCTGCATTTTCTCATTTTTATCTCAGTTTCCACCGGAACATTTGATGTTATCTCCCCTGAGGGACGGAGCTAAAAATTGTGTCTAACCACCTGAATTTAAGAATAGAAAAATGTATATGATAAGTAATCGCCATAAAATCCTAATTAAGTATAAGTCATCATACATTGATGACAGGTAAAAATGAGAATATGTCTGACATAGGTGTGATGGTATTGTGAGAGTATGTCCCGTACTTTTTGTCACGTACCAAGTGGTATTGGTGCTGATGTGATTAGTACGGGGGCTCTCCTCTCTTTGATGATTCACTAGTCCAGGCGTTGAGGAGTACAACGATGAAAACACAGAAAACGAATGAATGATGAAGTAACTCCTCAGTGACAGTTATAAATCAATAATGTATTCATCATTATAATAAGATTGTAATGTCTCTTTCCTGTCAACACTTCGCCGTCTTTCCCTGATTCTGTCTCTGACTACAGCCAGTAACACTACGTCCGTCACAACAGAACGACCGTCCACGAATCTCTCCCTCTGCCTCATGTCATCGGGAGTTCAGTGTTATATACCATTCTCTACCTCCCTCGGTGGCACAGGAATGCTGGCAATTAACCCATCCATTGCCACCTCATTTCCGGTCAGTTAGGAACTTCCGTCGTCAACAACAAAATTCTGGAAGGCCCGAGACATAATGTTTTGGAAAGAAACATCTCCCGAATCTAAAAGATGCGAGAATCTATGAACCTTACCCCATGCGCCTAACAATGACCTCCCCACAATCACAGCCATTTCCGTCCACCCCATAACTTATGTGAGGAACAATGGAGCTCTATTGTTAACCGCCACCCACCTCATTTGCGACAATGACATAAAAAAAAGTCAGTTTTTGAGACATAGTTAAACGAAAGTTATTTGTGGAAAAGGGATGAGGGGGTTGGCAATGAAACAGTGATCATACCATTTATTAAATTTCGAATATACAATCTAATATAAGGCGGCTTGATCATTTCGTCTAGAGATGAATAGTCAACAATGATGGGCCCAACAATGTTTAGAGATCAAAATATAATCAACACTCATCACGTAGTTCTCTTGTAATGAGCTAAGTTGTCTTTAGTAGTATACTTAACATATACTGTCTAAACGATCACTACCAAAGCGCTACTCACTACTAACAAAGCAAATACAATTTTCTTTGTTAAAAGGTTCTGCTTTAAGGGTAACTCGTCCAAACGGTCTGCACATGCTTACACCAACATCAAAGACTTCGTCCACTGATTCAAGCATGAGGCCACACAGCCGTAACTTGAACGAGCGTTCAACAAAGATTCTAACCAGCAAGACACACCACGCGCACCAAAATGCAACAAATGCGCACCAATATTACCTCCACGGAATCTTTAGGAAAACTATTGTATGGACAGAATAAAGAATATGAACACACTCTCGACTATACAAGTATTCATGACATCAGTTGATGCAAATGCACGGTACCGATTTTAAAATATCTTGTATCTTTTTACTAAGCATATTAATATGAAATGAATGAAATAGCAAAACGAGGTATGTGGAAGCTTGAATTAGAGAACAGGACAAAAAGCTAAGGACGTTTCAGCATAAAGCCTTCTTCAGGTAGCAGTAGAAATGAAAATATCACAAAGAACAGAGCACAGTAAACAACTCATGTAATATCCATTGTTGTCGCCGGAAGTGGGAACACAGGAAGCGAGAGAATATAAATATTGACACTGTGAAAAATGAGGTCCACAATAATTATGGACCAGAATATCCAGGGATACATAAACACACAGCAACATAGAAATAGATGAAAAAATATATGGCATCCTTTCGTCTTCGTGAGACGATGGAGTAGCTATAGAGTTCTACACTTTTTCGAGTGGCTCACTAGGCCAATCCTAGAATGGCAATCACGGCCGCATCTGTCGCAGGAGAATATTGAGTCCCGGTTAATGCTTGATTTCCGAATTGTTCTTTTTCATTCAAGGGCCTCGTTTAGAGTATCTTCTGCCTTTTTTACTCCTTCAAACACTGCTGTTCGCCAGTTTGAGCGATGTTCGGCAATGAACTCCCATTCGTTTGTTTCAATATTGGCTTCCCTCATGCTTCGTTTGCAAACGTCAATAAATCTCAGGCGTGGCCGTCCAATACGTCTTGTCCCCTCTGCCAACTCTCCATACAGCAGTATCTTTGGGATACGTCCTTCCTCCATTCTCCGTACATGACCTAACCAGCGAAGGCGTCTCTTGATAAGAAAGGAGAATATGCTAAACATGTGTGCACGTTCCAAAACCTCCACGTTAGGCACCCTGTCCTGCCAACGAATGCGCAAAATGCGACGCAGACATCTTTGATGGAAGCTGTTGAGTTTCCGCTCCTGACTGGTATATGTGGTCCACACTTCGCTATCATATAGGAGCGTACTAAGCACGCATGCCTGATAGACACTTATTTTTGTTTTATCAGTTAGATTGAGATTATTCCACACCCACTTATTCAGTTTAGCCATAGCTGCTGCTGCTTTTGCAATCCTGATATTGATCTCTTCATCAACGGAGAGAGAACTAGAAATATTGGATCCCAGGTATATGAAATGATCAACAACCGAAAGATTATGACCCTCAATAGATATGAAATACATGGAAGCAGAGAAACATCAGTAGGATATTATTTGGCTGATTCTTTGTTTTCATCCCGTGACGTCATTGCGTGTTCATTCAATTTTTGTGCAGGAGTCATTCCCCTTTTGTTTATTTGACTGTCGGCGGAAGTGCTGATGACGTGTTTTGTATTAAAATTTTATTTGGTTGATTAATTATAATTTTAAATTATCATTGGTTGGCTAATTATCATATTTTATTTGTGCCGCCATATTTGCAACATGTTAGCCCAATGCCGGCTGTTGCGCTCTATTCATTTGTGCATATTATTTTCTGTGGAACCTGCAATAAAGTGTGAAAAAGTGTATTTCATGAAACTATAAGTTGGGTTTTCATTATTTCTTTGTATTTTAATTATTTTTGGACATTTTTTGTTTGTTTGTTTGGTTTGTGTTCATTTTCCCGGTTTTATGGCCACCGCCGTCCCCCAGTGTGTCCACTCCATGTGTTTATACTTGTGGCTTTGGGGAGGTAATTGGGGAGGGGTTCTGCGGAGGGGTCACCCCTCCCTAGATATTTTTTTGTTTATGATTTTGGTATTTAAAGTGATGGGGGGGGGGGGTCAGGGGAGTGTCACCCGTCCCCAGGCGTTTCATAACGTGTTTTGCACTACTTTTTGGCCGCCATCTTGGTTGACACTTCACGTGACTTCACGTGTCGTGTCAACCAAGATGGCGGCCATGACGGGTAAACCCCGGGACAATCACTAATAATTGACCTTTTATTTGATCAATACCATAGGTAGATATGGTGCCAAACAGCTGAGGAAATTTACTCTCCATTTTAACCCACTCTGGTGTGTTACTGCATGAAATGTATCCAGAATGCCTCCTGACTCTCTGGTGGGTGCCTCCTGACCACCTGGTGGTTGCCTGCTTACCCCCACCTCCATTCCATGTAAGTGACAGTGACATATTCCATACTCATCACATTGCATGAATTCAAATTACAGACCACAAGAAAATTACACATGTAAAATGTAACACAATGTAACAATGTAACAAAATGTAACTTAATGTAACACAATTTAACACAACATACACAATAAAAATTGAAGAGGAATTTTGCACATGACCATGCTCTCAAGTTTGTGACTTCCTGCAACTACAGGATTTCAAAACAACAAACCAGTGATGTTGATAGTTTAAATGTAGGTAAATATATGTTAAAAAAATATGTAAACTTAAATTATTGAACTCAGTAAAGATAAATACAGCTGAGAAGTACTATCAAGAGGGTTTCAGTGATTTGTTATAATCTTTTAACCACCAGAATAGCAGAACTAGTCTTTTAGAATTCAGTACCGGGTATAGCAGTACTAGTCTTTTAGAATTCAGTACCGGGTATAGCAGTACTAGTCTTTTAGAATTCAGTACCGGGTATAGCAGAACTAGTCTTTTAGAATTCAGTACCGGGTATAGCAGTACTAGTCTTTTAGAATTCAGTACCGGGTATAGCAGTACTAGTCTTTTAGAACTCAGTACCGGGTATAGCAGTACTAGTCTTTTAGAACTCAGTACCGGGTATAGCAGTACTAGTCTTTTAGAATTCAGTACCGGGTATAGCAGTACTAGTCTTTTAGAATTCAGTACCGGGTATAGCAGTACTAGTCTTTTAGAACTCAGTACCGGGTATAGCAGTACTAGTCTTTTAGAACTCAGTACCGGGTATAGCAGTACTAGTCTTTTAGAATTCAGTACCGGGTATAGCAGTACTAGTCTTTTAGAACTCAGTACCGGGTATAGCAGTACTAGTCTTTTAGAATTCAGTACCGGGTATAGCAGTACTAGTCTTTTAGAATTCAGAATAGCAGTACGAGTCTTTTAGAACTCAGTATAGCTGTACTATTCTTTTAGGAATCGGAATAGCAGTAATTGTCTTTTAGAATTCAGTATAGCAGCATAGGCGCCCGCGGGTAGGGTAAGGGGGGGGGCAATTGCCCCCCCCCTCCCCCATTGATTGGATAAAAATTTTTTAGACAAAAAATTTATTAAAGTAAAGAGAAAATAAAGAGAGAGTAACTAAGCTGATGTCCTGTCCGTTCGTTCACCATACAAATACGCTACAGTAAATTAAAACTATATTGAAACATTACTAAAAAATTTTTTGCCCCCCCCCGCCCCCGCAACGTTAATCGATTTTTTGCCCCCCCCACCCCCTAGAAAGTTTTCTGCGGGCGCCCATGTATAGCAGTACTAGTCTTTTAACTATCACAAAAGCAGTACTTGTCTTTTAACTATCAGAATAGCAGTACTTGTCTTTTAACTATCAGAATAGCAGTACTTGTTTTTTAACTATCAGAATAGCAGTACTTGTCTTTTAACTATCAGAATAGCAGTACTTGTCTTTTAACTATCAGAATCGCTGTACTTGTCTTTTAACTATCAGAATAGCAGTACTTGTCTTTTAACTATCAGAACTGCAGTACTTGTCTTTTAACTATCAGAATAGCAGTACTTGTCTTTTAACGATCAGAATAGCAGTACTTGTTTTTTAACTATCACAATAGCAGTACTTGTCTTTTAACTATCAGAATAGCAGTACTTGTCTTTTAACTATCAGAATAGCAGTACTTGTCTTTTAACTATCAGAATAGCAGTACTTGTTTTTTAACTATCAGAATAGCAGTACTTGTTTTTTAACAATCATAATAGCAGTACTTGTCTTTTAACTATCAGAATAGCAGTACTTGTCTTTTAACTATCAGAACTGCAGTACTTGTCTTTTAACTATCAGAATAGCAGTACTTGTCTTTTAACTATCAGAATAGCAGTACTTGTCTTTTAACTATCACAATAGCAGTACTTGTCTTTTAACTATCAGAATAGCAGTACTTGTCTTTTAACTATCACAATAGCAGTACTCGTCTTTTAACTATCAGAATAGCAGTACTTGTTTTTTAACTATCAGAATAGCAGTACTTGTTTTTTAACAATCATAATAGCAGTACTTGTCTTTTAACTATCAGAATAGCAGTACTTGTCTTTTAACTATCAGAATAGCAGTACTTGTTTTTTAACTATCAGAATAGCAGTACTTGTCTTTTAACTATCAGAATAGCAGTACTTGTTTTTTAACTATCAGAATAGCAGTACTTGTCTTTTAACTATCAGAATACCAGTACTTGTCTTTTAACTATCAGATTAGCAGTACTTGTCTTTTAACTATCAGAATAGCAGTACTAGTCTTTTAGAACTCAGTACCGGGTATAGCAGTACTAGTCTTTTAGAATTCACTACCGGGTATAGCAGTACTAGTCTTTTAGAATTCACTACCGGGTATAGCAGTACTAGTCTTTTAGAATTCAGTACCGGGTATAGCAGTACTAGTCTTTTAGAATTCACTACCGGGTATAGCAGTACTAGTCTTTTAGAATTCACTACCGGGTATAGCAGTACTAGTCTTTTAGAATTCAGTACCGGGTATAGCAGTACTAGTCTTTTAGAATTCAGTACCGGGTATAGCAGTACTAGTC